GGAAACTCATGGAAACAGTGTTCCAGAGTGGAAAGTTTACATTCCCAACAGCAGTGTCTGAATGATCCAGTCACTCCATGTCCTCAACAGCACTTAGTACTGTTAATATTTTAAACATTTTAGGTATTCTAATGGGCATGTGGTATTGGACCTGGTGGCATAATGGCTTATGCCTGGGGCTAACCTCAAGGTCGGTAGCTAACCACTCTGGAGAAGGAAGAAGCTGCTTTGAAGGGATCCATGAGTCAGAATTGGCAGGATGGCAGTGCGTTCGACAAATGTGCCTGTCGTGGTTTCGCATCATGGACTGACGAAGTTCTCTAGTGTGAATAACACGGAGCATCTGTCTTTTCCTGCTGGATCCGCCAGCCCGAGCTCCTCTCTGGCTCAGTGTCTGTTCCAGGCTTTTGTTTTGTTTTGCTTATTGTAAAATTGGATTGCTTGTTGTTTTGTTGAGTTGTGAGAATTCTTTATACCTTCTGGATACAAGCCTCTCATCAGATAATGTGGTTTGTAACTATTTTTTCCCCTAGCCTGTAGCTCATCTTTTCATTTGTTTCACAGCGTCTTTCATAGAGCAAAAGTTGCATTCTGATGACGTCTCAGGATCAGAGTTAAACAAACACCCTATTGTGGATGCTGCTTGACATATATTTAATTTTCACCTCTAAGTCACAGGACTCCTCTCTCACCTAACTGGCTCAAGACATTCAATGATCTTTGTTAGTCGCACAATGTACACAATTATTTTGCATTTAAAATCAACCTATTCTATATGCTTGTGGTGCATTTTAATTTCTGCACATTCCTTTTTGAGTTGGGTATCCCGGGAAGGCAGTCACCGGGTCCGCTTACCTTGCTCTGAGCCCCACCTAGTGTCTCAGAGGAGGAGACAATAGCTAGTAAAATGTGGTCTGAGGACCAGCAGCCTCAGCATTCGCTGGGAGCCTGTAAGACATTCCCACTTGGAGACCCTCCCTAGCTACTGAGTTAGAATGTACATGTTAATGAGATCCCCAGGTGCACATTAAAGTTTTCCAAGCACAGCTGTACAGCTCCTCTGATTCTCACTCTTATTTTCCCAACAAAGAAGCTGCGGCCCAGGGAGAGTGAGGATGGCCTCAAGGAGGCGAGCCGCTGACCTTCCAGGTAGAACGCAAACCTAGTTCTTTCACCCCACGTCTGGCGTGTTCTTCCCAGCGCTCTGGCGGAGGGAGCCTAAGCTCCTCCCACTCCCGTCCTCAGGGGTAGGGGCTGGGTGGGTGGGTGGGGTACCCAGAGCACCAAACATTTGTAAAGATGTGGCCTTTGCTTGAAAAGACTTCCCTCGCTCACTAGTCCCAAGGTCAGTGCTGATTTTCAAATTTGCCTAATGAAATGAACTAGACCCTCTTTGTGAGAAGACAGTCGTTCTTTCCCTCCCTCCTTGCATTTGTTTATTTCTCTGCAAGCTCCTGAGATGACTAACACGAGAGTTGTTAATCACACCATCTGTTCAAACAGCACTTCTAAATCATTCAATTCATACTTTCTTTTTAAGGAATCCTTTTTTGTTGTTGTTGAGAACAATATGTTTGTGTCTGTGTTACTCCCATCATTTGGCAATGAAGTATGAGCTATTTAAACTTTTCCTATTTATTGTAAATGACTTTTCAATCAGCAAATATATATATTTTTAATGTGCACACACTACAAAAAAGCTGTGTCTACTGACTTTTCAAATATTGGAAACAGTAGAAAAAATCTGTTCCAGTCTGTCTGCTGTAAAAATTTTAACCATCTGATGACATTTCAATAAGAGTTTGGGAGATGATTTATCAGATTGCCCCTGAAGATGGGGCAATCCCCCACTTGCCCTGAAGATGGCAGTGGTGTGCAACTGAGTGCAAACCTTCACTCCCCACCCCTTCTGTCTGGGCCCCAAAGGAATTTCTGGAATGGAAGGAACTGGGGGAGGATTCGCTCCATCTGAGCCTTCTAAAACGTAGCATAAACCCTTTTCTGAACTCTGGGACAGTTTGGTTTATCTTTGGTTCCCTTTGCTTTTGTTTAAAGCTCTACCCTCTGCGTTTCCTGTTTCCAGTCAGGGACCAGAAATGGAAATAGTTAAAAGGTTATTCTCCTACCACAGGCAACCAGGAAGCACCTATATAATTTACAGAGAGGCTGGTTTTCGCAGCACTGCTAGTTTTTATTTTTTCATTTTTATGTTTAACCCTCACGAAGACCCAGTCTAAGATGAGCGGGGAGCTAAGAATAGGGGAGGATTTGAAGGCCCACTGGGACCACATCTTGTGGCCTGCCAGGCTCAGGGCTCAGGCACTATAAACCAGAGGGCGAGCTCTTGTCAAGGTGTGGGCACGGGAACAGAGTGGGCATGACACTGTTGAGACCGTCACAATCTGGTGACAAGCTAGTCAGAAAACATTTATTGGCGGCTTAATCGTGGGGGGAGCAGAATTTTATAAAGCGCTGTTATAAATACTAATAACAACCAACAATGTTTATATGCCATGAGCCAGTCCCTTGACAAATGCTTTATCAACGTTCATTTACTACTGACAGCTATCTGTAACATATATTGTTTCCCCCCACCACCGCTGTTTTGTTTTGTTTTTTAAACATAAGAAAAGGG